AAACATCTAATACGATAAGGCAAGAAACTAAGAGTTGCCCATGCAATTACACTAGCGTCTTATAAATAAATTTTGATTAAATTATAAATTCTTTCTAGCCAATATTTACTTGTAAATCAACAGTCATGTCAAAAAGTACTAATTTGTTTAGACGCCTAATAGAGAAGCAGAGAACTATAATAGCTTTAGAAATTAATGCATACAAGCAATTTAGATGAAATATTAACTGGAATTGACATGGAATACGTCTACATCTGATCAAGTTAATCTCGTTTCAAATATAAAACCTATATACAAATTAGGTGATATTAATTACTTGATATGGTTACCTGTAATTTCACCTATGATGTTGTGCAATTGAGGACAATCGAAATGTAAAAATATGAATATGTAGGGCGTAACTTAGCTTAAAAATCATATAGACATAGTGAGAAACTAGAAACATGACTGTGCCGTGGAGTGATAACGTTGCCTCTTGTTGTACATGGCCCGGCTCAGAGTCCCATTTTTAATTGTCGTGGATTCAAGGTTAAGTCAAAACTGAACGCCAGGCCGGATAAGAGAGCATTTTGGGAGGCACACTCAAGTGAATTTAGATTTAATCGTGAATTCTACCATTCATTATCACTCCTGGCACCATAAAAAGCGAAAAATATTACTCGGATTCTCATATTTACTGATCCTGGTGACAGATACTCTTTGGATTTTTCACCTTAAGCAATAAAATGATTTTCCTGAATCTTATTGGTTTTTTTCTAATAAATGATAAGTTCAGACAGGCTAAACAGTTTAAATATAAAACAAAAAGCAAGAAAGTTATTAAATTCTTTTTAGAAATTGTATGACCCTGTCTTAGCAACGTCGCTATATCGCAAGGGAGACCTGGACAAACACACCTTCTTCTCAGTCCAAAGTATTTATGATAATTTCCAGAGTCGAACCGTAAACTTGGTGCATTCTAAGACATTTCACTTCCATCGTAATCGGCATCATCAGTGAGCTTTGTCATTCTTAGCACCACACTAAAACTCATCCAAAAGACAAGTAAAGTCGATCCTCTCTCCCTCTTGCTTCGTAGGATCCGTCTCTTATCTGTCTGGTTAGGATTTTACTCGATCATTACCACCAAATCCTTGCTACTTGAGGTGTTATGTTCTACAATCTGACTCAAACCCTTGACACTCACTTAACTCAGCCCCACTAAACAGGCTCTCATAATCTAGATTATAATCTGGATGGAAAGCTAACTTGACGTTGCAGATCCTCTTATCAATTTTCGGCATGTGCACCAGGGTAAGTCTTTACTTCATGACCATGTCTATGATCAAATACGAGTACTGTTTTTTTCGTTTATAAGTATGGTTTCGAGACTACTAGTAAATAAAATATATGATATGTGTTGATCCTATTTCGTTTAAGATAACGAAAGATTGTTAGCTTAATTTTCCTAAAATGCTATGATTAAACCTTACATTTCCATTTACTTTCACTTAACCTTGCCTAACAAAAGGTATTCTCATGCTACTGGAATGGACTGCAGTTCTGCGCTTGCTTTGGTCTGATCCACACCGCCGGCCGGTGCCACTTATCAAAGTGAATTATCAATTTAATAAATTGTAACAATGTGAGGATGATGGCATTTCTCACTGACGATGCCGACCACGATGCCGGCGAGACGTTTGGGAATGTACAAAGTCAATGGACCGATGCTGAAAATCGCAAACATTATGGCAGATGACACATCCCTAGTTACGCTCCACAAGCTCTCCATGACACTCCGAACAATTTGCACAAACGAGGTATAACCAACAGAATAAGGCTAAAGGAGACTGCAACCAAAGGTCCCACCATCTTGGTATTCATATCTACGATATAAATTACTTATTCGAAGATATAAAGACCAGAATAAAATGGCCTTATGTATGGTCGCAGTCTCCTTTCGTTGCATAGAAGATGCTTGACCGTGTTTTCACAACTTGGTCATATTGGCAGGAAGACCTAGAAGAATGCACCTTGTCCACAGTCCATAGCATGCTTGATAATTTCCAGACTCAGACCATGGACTTGGTACATTCTTAGACGTTTCGCCGACATCGTACTTTGCATCGTCAGTGAGCCTTGCCATTCTTAGCACCACCCTACAACTCGTCAAATAAACAAGTGAAATCAATCCTTTGACCAAATGTGTGCTAAATAGTTGTGGTATCTCTCCTTCTGTACTGGGCTATTCACCTATCCTATGTCCTCCTATCACCTCTTCACTATCACAATTTCTTACTTGTTTATCTGGACCTATTTGAAATATATTCACACTCGCCGCTGGTTTCCTCATTCTACTCCCATCCTTCCTACCACTGTGCCTGAAATGTTGATCCTGCCATTTGACCTTGTTGAATTGTTGCAAGCAATATAGCATCGCTCTCGGATTGTGCAACCTAATGAGGAAGTGTCATTCGGACATAGGTAATGAAATACTTTATCACACAACTATCCAGAAATGAGAGGAAAGTTACGGGAGTGAGAGGCGTAAGCTATTTAAGGTCCTAGATATAAAGTCTAGATTAAGGAAGGATCTAGGCAAGGTTCTCACTTTGTATGCTTTTCAAAAACTCCGGAGTATGATGGACCAGAAGTCACAGAGGGTCCAGGATTAGATATGGGATAATAAGACAGCGTAGTCTCAAACCAACGCGGGCTAATTTTGATGGTTCTGTGTTGACGGCATCAACTACTACAACCGATGATAAGTAGTAAACCTGTCCTCAATCCCTCTTAATTCCGAAACGGTGGATCTTCTGAAGAACAGGTTAAATTTTTCAATCGGTAACGAAGGATACATTTTAGAAGATATCCTTGTAGAAGTCATCAACATTTTGGAGAAATTTCCAGAAGAGATGAAATGAGGGACGGAAATGGAATTAATCCCGAAAATTTTGTCCCATCAAGTGCCAATGAAAAGGAACGGATTGATGAAGATACGTTGAAAATTGCAAATGAATGACCAAATAGTTCTTCAGGTGGATAAGAGAGGAGCGAAGATTGTAATGGACATAAAACAGTATACAGAAAGAATGGAAAGTATCCTAGGTGACCGGAACACCTATAAAATAGTAAGGAATGATCCAAAAATGAAGATCAACAGGATACTGAATGATATGTTAAAGGAAATGCATAATAATGGGGAAATTAACAGATGAATGATGAAATCATTTATCAAAAAAGGGCTCGGACTACCGAAGATACACAAAGAAGGAAATTCGCTAAGATTAAGAGTCAACAACAGGCATTGAGCAACACACAAACTAACGAAATTAATTTGTTTGAAGCTCAAAAAAGTAAATGACATACTCTCGAATAACGCTAAGAATTCATATGAATTTTCTCAAAGGATCCAGAACATTGGGCTGGTGGAGATGGAACTGTTGGTGAGTTTCGATGTACAATCTATGTACACAAATATCTTCAGTGAGAAGGCAGTAAGCACCTTGCTGGAGATGTTGGAGAGAGAACGGACGCAGAACGGATACGGAAGGAATCCTTACCACGACTGTTCAACCTGACAGTAAAGACCACATGTTTTACACTTAACGACAGTGTCTACGAGCAAATATTTGAACTACCAATGGGATCTCTAATCTCACCTCTTTTGGCCAATGTGTACATGGATAGATTGGAAAAGGAATTCGAGAAGTCACTGCTGCAACCAAGAGTGCTTATGCGATGCATGGACGACTAATGTGCACTTTGGTCGCATGGCGCGAAAAATTTGGATCAATTCCTCAATTTTATGAACCAACTTAATGGGATAATTAAATTGACAATGGAGATGGAAGAGGTTAAATTACTACCCGTCCTAGATACTGAGGTCATTTGCCCCAAGGGAATACTCAATTGGAGAGCATTCAGAAAGACATCATATGGGGGAATAATCCTCAATTTCCAGTCTCATCACGACCAGAGACTGAAGATCGGAATAATGAGGAGTATGATCATCAGAAGCTTAGGACTAACGAACACTGAGTTCTAGAACGAGGGGTTGGAGAAACTGATTCTGATTTGCCTTAGTAACGGGTGCCCCAAAGAATTTGAAGAAAGACATATAGGGGCCATGAAGAGCAGATTTCAACTAGGATTTTATAAAAATCGGGAGGACGATAAAAAGTGAACATGCCTGACTTCCTGTAAACTGAGCAAGATGATAACAAAAGAAGAGACAACACTCTTCATAAGTCTGCGGATGCAACACGAGAAGGTTGACAAACTGGGTTGCTCCGGAGTATATAGCATCAAATGCGGCAACTGTGAGCAGAGGTATATTGGTGGAATGGAAAGAAAAATCAGCCTACGAATCAAGGAACACAAAAGACTCTACAGACACTGAAAGATCCGAAATAACGGACCACATCGCACGGACGGGACACGAAGTCGAGTGTAAAGTGACAGAAAGGCTGGCTGCATGTGAAGGAGATACAAGAAAATGCAAGATACGAGAAGCCATTGATATTATGAATGAAAGAAACCGAAAGAACAGGAGACTTGAAGAAGGTAGGATTAGCGAAAACTTTGCATACCTCCTAAACTAACTCGGAGACGATCAGAGAACAGGAATACCAACTAAATGAAGACGACTAGACGAATGTAATACTTTTTATTTTAGGAAAAGACATTACAAGGAGACCAGAGAGAAACAATCGTAAACCAAGGGAAGTCGTCTACAGTAAGCTTGTTCAAATCAAGTAGAAGCATCACATTTGGGGGTTGGCACGCCATATAAAGTCATAGAAGAGCGAGCGAAACGGTGGTGACCATTCCTAGTTGACTATTAGTAGATAAGGTTTGCTCATAGACGTAGTCCATGAAGTAGAGGCTTGACCAAGAGAGTTACTCGCCTCACATGCCGCAAAGCGTTAAGGGAATCTGCTGCGTCAAGTTAGGTTGCCATGCCAAATGAGAATCCAGACTTTAGCGGTTTGCTCAGTAAGGCTGGTGTATACGTTTTATCAAAAGCTTGAGGCAGAGTGTAGAACAACGCCTTGAGTAGCACGAGGATGTAGGATGGGTGGATAGCCCAGGACAGAAGGAGAGATACCACAACTGGTTAGAACACGTCTGGTCAAAGGATGGGCTTCACGTGTCTCTTTGACGAGTTGCAGTGTGGTGCTAAGAATGACAAGGCGATGACTGACGATGCCGGCGAAACGTCTGGGAATGTACCAAGTCCACGATCCGACTCCGGAAATTAGCATGCATACTACGGACTCCAGACAAGGTGCGTTCCTCTAGGTCTTTCTACCAATATGACCAAGTAGCGAAAACATGGTCAAACAGCTTCTATACAACTAAAGGAGACTGCGGCCATACAAAACCACACATCATCCTGGTATTTATATCTTCGAATAAGTAATTTAGATCGTAGATATGAAGACCAAAATGGTGTGGCTTTTTATTTGGTAGAAGACTCTTTTAGCCTTATTTTATTGGTTCTGCCTCGTTTGCGCAAATTGTTTAGTGTCAGGGAGAGCTTGTGGAACGTACCAAGTCCTGTTTCCTCTGCCATAATGCTTGTGATTC